CCAGAACTTTTGTTTCTTTTCTTTTCCATCAGATTAGCTATGATTCCTACATCTTTGTTTGGCTCAAACATCTCCTGTACTATATGAAACTTTCCCAATTCCTTAAGGTAGAATTAAACATTTCTGCTTCAGAGTCTTATATATTCTGTTAATATCTTTATTATGCTAATTCATATGCTTATATTTTATTTTATGTTCATTTGTCTCTCCAGCCAGATTGTAAGCTTCTGCAAAGTGCAGGTGCAATCTGATTTATGTCTGTAATTATGTAACCTAATATTCAATTATAGACATAAATTGTTATTTACCTATTATTAGTTCGGTGCTCAAAAAAGGTCTGGTGAATAACAATCAAATCTATACATATTAAACAGCTGTTGTGTGACTGGTTATGACTTAGATGTTTTGCAGACAATATTTTGAATCCTCTCAACAATGCTGCAAGGCAGATATAATTATTCTCATTTTGCATATGGAGATTTTGCAAAAGCTCAAATTGTTAGTAAATAATAGAACGAAGGTTCTACAAGACCAAATGATTCAAAGTCATGTTTTTTTCCCTGTGACTCCATGCATGAAGGGCTGGGTGTGGTGGCTTATGCCTGTACTCCCAGCATTTTGGGAGGGCAAGACGGAAGAATCACTTGAAGCCAGGTGTTTAAAAAAAAACCCCAAACCCAAAAACCTACTTCTTATGATTGATAGAAGATTAAATGAGATAATGTATATAACATGTCTGGTCAGTGCTGATAAATAGTAGGTTTTATTCAACATTGGCTTCCTGTCCTCTTAAAGCCCATAGCATGGGTGTTCTTGATTTCTGAGAAGGACCAAGGTGGTTTAGCTAATCTTTTTGCCACCTCCACACATGCTTACACTCACATTCACACATATTCACACTCACATGGAGGTAATGAGAAACAGATTCTTTCTGGGGCTACTCATTTTAACCCATACCTCTTGTTATACTTTCCTGTTGGCAAATGGCTCTGATGGCAAATGAAGGTAGAGAAATAATTAGTAGTAATGTGGGCATGCAATCTTTTGGGCATGCAATCTCTCTCTCTCTCTCTCTATCCCTCTCTCTCTCTCTCTCTTTCTCTGGTTATGTGTGTGTGTGTGTGTGTGAGTGAGACAAAGGGCTAGGGAAGGAATATTGACAGGAATGGAATCATGCCTGCAGTCTTACCAGGGCTATGCTGTCTTGGTAAATTCCTGGAAAATCATTCTGACTAGAGTGCTGACTCTTCCCTCCCTGTTTTCTCTTTGCCCAGACAGCATATTTTACAGTCAGGACCACTTTCTTTTCTACCTCAGGAATCTCTGTAAGAAAGAAAAAGGGGAAATGTGAAGGAAATAAACATGAGCTGTAGGCCAATACTGTTTCGTGGATCCTACCTTGAGATACTAGGCTCCTGAGAAATAAATTTAAGCAAGAGAAATGTGAAGCTACACTGCTAAGGGGCTGTGCTCAGGTAAAGGAGAACAACCTTCTCTCATCTTCACACTCCTGCAACTCTCTTGAAAAGCAATATTATTTTTCAGCTGCTCTTGGTACTTGACCAAGGCTAAAGGAAGTTCACGGGCTCAAGGTAAGAGAGTTGCTTCTACTCTTGATTCTCCTGGTCCATACGTTTCAAGGTAATGACCAAGCCAATTTCTTGTCACCAACCTGGGCTCTTGGTTTGTTTCTGATCAAACATTACGTAAGTACAAAGTAGGGAAGAACTTCTACTACTCAAAAAACTCTCAAATTCTGTGCCAAATATATAATTTAGATGTCTTCTGATCCATCACAGAACCAGTGCTACATATAGAAGGGATAAAAAGTGAATAAAGTAAAGTTAGGACCTTGTATTGTTATTATTGTACTTTTTTTTAGCCAGCCAAATTCAGCAGTGGGTGGTTTTTATTATTGTATTTTTAATGGTATTACATATATATGTGTGTCATATATATATACTTAAATTTTTTTTACTTCAATAGTTTCTGGAGTACAAGTGGTTTTTGGTTATATGAATGAATTATATTATGGTGAATTCTGAGATTTTAGTGAATGCATTACCCAAGTAGTGTATGTTGTACCGAATACGTAGTTTTTTATCCCACACCCCATTTTTAAATGGTATGCTTTATCTCTTAAGCTGGTCTCTTGAGTTTAGGAATTATGTCTACAGCTTCTTCTAATTTTACTTCATTGCCCTCCACAAAGCAAGTACCTGGTGTCATTTGCTGAGTGACGGAGACAGTCACCCATATGCGACCTGTATAACTGACAAGTAGATTCTAACTTAAATGTGGAGCACAACAAGTTGTAAAAAAAAGAAGTGAAAATTTGGAATCTCTAAAAAGCTAAATATTCTCTAGCACTTGATCAAACATTGAGATTAAGTAAACAGGTCAGGTGCAGTGGCTCAGGCCTGCAACATCAGCAGTTTGGGAGGCCAAGGCGGGTGGATCACTTTAGGCCAGGAGTTCGAGACCATCCTGGCCAACATGGTAAAACCCCGTCTCTGCTAAAAATACAAAAATTAGCCAGGCATGGTGGCAGACACCTGTAATCCTAGCTACTCAGGAGGCTGAAGCAGGAGAATAGTTTGAGCCTGGGAAGTAGAGGTTGCAGTGAGCTGAGGTCACGTCATTGCACTGCATCCTGGGTGACAGAGGGAAACGAGAGAGAGAGAGAAAGTAAACAAGTTCAAATTTAGTGTGAACTTTTCCATCTGATAGTATGAAGAGAGATAAATTTCACTGCTAAAAACATGTATAATGAGAATGTCAGTTACCTGACCGTTCAGAAAACTTAATCAACATAGAAAAACAAGTACAACCTTAGGAGTTTAAGGGAAAAAATATTTGCCAGACTGACTTGTACTCAACAGGTTACACAGTAAGTACTTTTGAATTCAATCCACTTAAATGCCAAGGGATCATAAATGTGGATGACTCATTTTGAGGCATAATTCCTTTGTTTTAATTCACGCTGAGCCTGGGCATACCTTTTGGGGAGCTGGTTTGACGCTGACCCTTTGGGCCCTTCTCTTCCCCTTTTGTAGTTGGTCAAAGTCAACAGATTTTTTAAAATGAAGTCTTGCTCTGTTGCCCAGGCTCAAGTGTATTGAGGAGATCTTGGCTCACTGCAACCTCTGCCTCCTGCGTTCAAGCAATTCTTCTGCCTTAGTCTTGTGAGTAGCTGAGACTGCAGGCACATGCCACCAGGCCCAGCTAAATTTTTTTTTTTTTTTGTATTTTTAGTAGAGACAATGTTTCACCATGTTGGCCAGGCTGGTCTTGAACTCCTGACCTCAAGTGATCCACCTGCTTCGGCCTCCCAAAGTGCTGGGATTACAAGCATGAGCTACCATGTCTGGCTGCAGACTTCTTATAGTAAAGCTATGTTTTTATCCACAGAACATTGCTCTGGTTACTAGGTGTTCCTTCCAAAATTACAAGCTTCTGGGGCAAATTGAGACTTTACTATTTCTGAAAATTCTTTCATCTTCCTTCATCTCAGAAAAGGCTTGTTTCACTTTCCTGTTTCATTTTGCTGTTGTTTAGTGAAAGCATAAAGAGACAAATCTTTGGGTTGAATGAAATTTTAAATAGCAAACTTTCATTAGCTGAAACACAAGAGTGTTCAGAAATCTTCCTTAGCGTAAATGAAAGGTACATGTGTGAATATAAAAAACTGAAAGGAAATATCACACAATTTTATAGTATTAATAGTTATAGACAAGGAATTCAAAATTTTCCTTGCATGCACACTTTTTAATATATGACAATTTTTCCACAATGAAGACATATTATTTAGATGAACAGAAATATTATGAAGTGGGCAACTGGAGTCAATAGCCACTCCCCTTCCCCTATCATCATGCCACAGGGCCTAAAGCCTGAGAGACCTAAGGAGCTGTAACTGTGTGAGTGGTATTCAGGTGTAAGTTTGGGCTGGCCAGGTAATCTCTCTGGGACTCAGGTTCCACACCTGTGAAATGTAGGGGTTTGAGTGCAATGGTTGCACCTAGTTCTAAAATGCCTGAATTTTATTATGGGCCTGCCACATCATAGGCTGTATTATTTCAAAATGTTCTGGCTTTGAGTAACAGACTCTTGACTAATAGTGGCTTAAATCGTAAGAACTCTTGCTGTTGAGTAAACAGAATATTTGAAGGCAGGTAGTCCAGGACTGGATCAGTTGCTCAATGAGGGTATCCAGGAGCCAGCCCTCCTCAACTGTTGGCTTTTGTCCTAGAGATTGCTGCCTCATAGTTACTAGACAGTTATCACATCTCTGTGTAAGAAAGAAAAGGCAGAGGCAATTTTCTCCTTTGCATCCGGTAAGGTCCTTTACATCTCGTTTGTCAGAATTGAGCCATGTGACCAACTTAGATGAATCAGTGACGAAGAGAAAGGAGATTGCCATCTTGCATTAGGCCAATGATCATTCATCCTACACCTCTGAGAGCAAAGAACAGCTGCCCATTGACTGACCCAATCAGGGTTTTATCAGCAGGGAAGGAAAGCTAGAAGAGGACAGCCACAGAGGAGAAAACAAAATATGTCTTCCAGAGTGCTTAAAGATTTGTGAATGAATGAATGATGGCTGTGTTATGCCTTTTAAGGATCCTGAAAACATCTGCTTTTGTGGGCCCCTTCCTCCATAAAAATATTTAAAAATTATATTTATGAATGCAAGCTGGATTCATTGTTATATAGTCATTATTTTTATTTTGAATAAAAAATTACAATTGGAATATATTTGTAGGCTCCTAAAATTATTGTGGACCCAGATACTGTGACTACTGTGCCTAGTGGATAATTTGACCTTGGGTCTGTGTTTTCTTTCCAAATGAATTGTAAACACTTGAGGGCAGGCACAATGTACTAGGTTTGTTGTTGCTCTCAAGGCCCCTATTGCAAAACCATACATCGAAGAGCTGCTTAAACAATACTGTTGAGTTGACCTAACATATAACTGCTGTCACTATTTCTTCCTCCAGGGTGAGCCAGGTCCTCCTGGTCCTTATGGTTCTCCAGGAATTCCTGGAATTGGACAGCAAGGTATTAAGGTAAAGATAACTTGTCTTTTTGCCCATTGATGACTGTTGAATTTATTGTAGGGCCTGGGGGAGCTGTGATTTGAACTCCATTCTGCCTAAACCCAATAGACACAAGGAGGCTTCCTGAAGTTACTTCATTTTATATGCTTGGACACAGCAATATGCTTGTCGGGGGCAGTTACCACAAGAATAATTAATGTATTTTTTAATTTTGTTGGAATGAAAAACTTACTTGTTTCCAAATACCCACCCTCTTGCCAAGGTACATTATAGTTCTGTTGAGTTTTTTTGGACTTTAAACATTCACATGCAAATATGTTATCGGGAAGTGAAACAACTTAACACATCAACACTCATAGCTCACACTGAACAAGCATAAAGGGGCAGAAACCAGAAGGCCATGGCACTGAATAGGTCAACGTTGGCAGAGAGATTTGTAGAGAACTGGAAAGGTAAGGAACATCCATCCTGTGAGGCTCTACATTATACAGGATATAATAAAGCAGAAGTGCCTATTTTGAATGGCTTTTCTATGTGGTTGTGACAGTAAGACTTTGATGCAGGATTAAAATAGCAAGCAGTACAAAACACTGTACTTTGAATGGGACTGAATATTCCCACATATAGCATTTCAGCAATAAGCACATTGAGACTCCAGGGAAGGTAAAGTTTATGTTGGCAGAGTTATGGAGAAGCATTTGTTGCTCATAAAGATACAAGGTGATTGGGAGGCCAAGGAGGGTGAATCACCTGAGCTCAGGAGTTTGAGACCAGCCTGGAAAACTTGGAAAAACCCCATATCTACTAAAACTACTAAAAAATTAGCTGGTCCTGGTGATGTGCAGCTGTAGTCTCAGCTACTCGGGAGGCTGAGGCAGGAGAATTGCTTGAACCCAGGAGGTGATGGTTTCAGTGAGCCAAGAAAGTCTCCAGAAAAGAGAAGATGAAGTCTGAAGTCTGAAAAGAGCTTAAAGGAAAGGTGAAATAGGGTAGAGTGGGGACAAGGTAGATGTGACATCCCAGGATGCTGGCAAGAGGGCAGGGCACAGCACACAAATTGTCGGCTTGGCCTTCTCAGTAACCAACATGCATTACCACACAGTCTGTTCTGCCAATTCTTACACAGTATTTTGTGAAAGCTGAAAATGCTAAATTATATTTGGACAAGAAGAGATAATGAACAATTTTGGGTAATTTGTTCACTTAAATTCACTTAAATTTGAGCTATTTCTCTTCCTCTAGAATTTTTTACCTTTATGAATATGAAAAATGTGTCCATTTTGCTATTTATCCCTGTTGAAATCTCCAGAGAATTTTGTGCTATGTTTATTCTTTATTTAAAATCTCTAGCTTTCATTCTATTATTTATTTCTCTTAGGGAGAAAGAGGCCAAGAAGGAAGGCCAGGAGCTCCAGGACCCATTGGAGTTGGTGAGCCTGGACAGCCAGTAAGTAGCAAAAATTCTAGATGGAATGAAAAGGACAAATATAGTTTTTACTTGTTCTTCCTGGTTAGAATAAATGGTCAAATTAACCCACCTTGTTTTTTTTTTTTTTTTTTTTTTTTTTTTGAGATGGAGTCTCACTCTGTCACCCAGGCTGGAGTGTAGTAATGTGATCTCAGCTCACTGCAACCACCACCTCTCAAGTTCAAGTGATTCTCCTGCCTCAGCCTCCTGAGTAGCTGAGACTGCAGGTGCACATCACCAGGAACAACTAATTTTTTTGTATTTTTAGTAGATATGGGTTTTGCCATGTTGGCCAGGCTGGTCTCGAACTCCTGACTTCAGGTGATTCACCTGCCTTGGCCTTCCAACCACCTTGTATCTTTATGAGCAACAAATGAAAATAAATATGTGAGGACCAGATCCAAGTGCTGTTTTTCACAACACATGAAATGGAGCAACATATATATGTATATGTGTAAATATATATATGATGTTGACAAACAACTCTCTTTTACTGTAACCTCTTACAAGATTAATCAACTTGAACAAGAAGAAAAGAGTTCTCATGTGTCAAAATTTTCTAGGAATAAGATCTGGACTCAAGCCTAAGGTTTATACTTTATAATGGATTTCTTTGTAACCACAAGAAAATCGCTGAGAGTAAGGACTTGGCTCATTATCTAACCCATGAGTATGCTCTAAAGCTAGGATTGATAATGGTAGACAGGTAATATCTGTGTTATTCACAATGTCTCTTTCATGTAGCTTTGAAGTTACTGTTGTTGGAGAAGAAAAAAATTTCTATTAAAAGACATTTGGAGAGGAAGTGAAGAAAATACGATTATTCTGGTATAAGAAGCATGTTAACTTTTCAAGTAATCATTATTCTCTTAGGGAAAAATAGCTGACTCACTGAGGTACAAATGAAAACAACTGATTGTGGATAGCTGGTCTTTCAAGTTGTCTTTGCACCGCATAGTTCCTCACATCTGTATATTCACAGAAACATGCACTTCCATACTGCACTCTCTGTGAGTGAAATGGCAATATATTGTTTAGATTTGGCCTTTTCACTTATATCTGAATATACTAATTCAAAAAAGAGAGCACCATATGGAAGAAAAATACACTGGACTAATCATCTAGAGATCGGTGATCTAGTCTCAGTTTCCACTAATTAGATAGTATCATTAAAGGTAAGCCACTAACTTATTTTGTTCTCGATTTTGGTTTTGTGTGTCTGTTTAACAAACTGCCTCAAGCCCTAGTGCCTTAAAACAGTAATTTGTTATTTCTTATGGTTTTGTGAGTTGTAGTGAGAGTTCCGTATAACTTGAAGTCAGATGGAGTGCTGAAATAGCTGGAATGTTAAAAATGGACTACATGGCTGGCAGTTTATGCAAGTTGTTTTCTGGAAGCTTAGCTGGGATTGTTGCCCAGAGACCTCAGTTCTCCTCCACATGGGTAGGTACAGGTTGTTGCTTGGGCTTCCTTACCAAACGGCAGCTCGAAACCAAGCAAGAGTGTTCCAGTAAGCAGAAACCACTCATCATGTCAGGCTTAGCCTCAGAAATTATACAGCATCATTTCTGTGATATCTAAAATATGTATAGGACCAGCTCAGATTTGAGTGGAATAGAAAAAGATTTCACCCCCTCATGAAGAATATCAAATAACTTGTGGATGTATTTAATTTAGCAAAGTCTCCAACTTTAACTTCTATAAAAGTAAAAGATTGAGTTCTCCATAGGTCAATGATTTTCAGAGCTGGAAACATTCTGAAAATTTCAAAGAAATAAGTCACAATTTAAAAAATTTTAAATACAGATTGATGAGTGTTTTGTCCAAACAATTTTGTGCTTTGCTATTATTTATACCTTCCAAACTCAGCACTAAACTTAAAAATGAGTTTCATTTATTCATTGTAGTTCTTAAAATGCTTTTATTTTTAAATAATAAAATATTTTAAGCATACTGGAAAATATAAAGAATGATTGGGTAAACCTCCACCAGGTAGACAATTAGTACATTTACTATTCTTACTTTAATTTTCTTTGAAAAACATAAAACATTATGGATACAGTAAATTCTCCCATTTTTTTCAGAAAATAGAAGAGGAAGAAACACTTACCAATTTATGTTATGAGGCCAGTTTTCCCTGAAACCAGAACAAAATATTAAACATACATAAGAAGAATGCTACAGACCAATATCCCTTATGAATATCAACATAAAAATTTTTAACAAAATAGCAGCAGCAATATGTAGAAAGAATTGTACAGCATGACCAAGTGGGGTTTATCCTATGGATGCAAGCCTGGCTTAATAATTGAAAATTAACCAATGGAATACACCATATTAATAGGCTAAAGAAGAAAGATCACATGATCACATCAAAAGACAGAGAAAAGCATTTGACAAAACTCAAAACCCTAATAAACCCTGATAAATCTCTGGTGAAAACTCTCAGAAAACTAGAAGTAGAGGAGGAACTTCCTTAATTTCTGTGAAAAATCTAGAGCTAACTTTATGTGTAATAGTGAAAGAGTGAATACATCCCCCTAAGATCAGGAACAAGACAAAAACATCTGCTGTCACCAGTCTTATTCAATATAGCATTGGATGTTCTAGCCAGCACAATACGACAAGGAAAAGAAATATGAGGCATTGGTATAAAAACAATAAATAAATCTAACCTTATTTGCAGATGATATGATGGCCTCCATAGAAAATCCCAATAAATCTACAAGAAAACCTCCTAGAATTAACAAGTGAGTTCAGCAAAGTCACAGGATACAATATCAACATACAAAATCAATTTAATTTTTGTGAACTAGTAATGAACACACAGAAACTAAAAAGCACAATACCATTTTTAACTGCTAAAAAAGAAAAATATGTGGGTAGAAATCTAATAAGACATGTATAGGACTTGTGTAAAACTATAAAACACTGATGAAAGAAATCAAAGAACACTTAATAAATTTAGGGACATGTTTATAGATTAGAAGATTCAACATCATAAAGATGTAAATTCTTCCCAAATTGATATAAAAGTTTAGCACAAATATTTTAAATATCTCAGCAAGATTTTATTTAGACATGGACAGGGCTATTTTAAAATTAATATGGAAAGGCAAAGAGCTGGAATAGCTTTTAAAAAGCTTGAAAAAGAATACACTTGGAGAAATTATACTAACTTAACTGGTCTTAAGATTTATTATATAGTTAATAATGACTGTGTGATATTGGCAGATTATAGAAACATGATCAGTGAAACAGAATAGAGACCCCAGATACAGACCTATAGAAGTGTAGTCAAAATACTGCAAAAACAATCCAACAGAGGAAACATAGTCTTTTCAACAAATGGTGCTGGCACAATCTGTGCAAACACAAAAAATGAACCTCAATTTAAGTCTTGTACCTTATACAAAAAGTAACCCAAAATGGATCATAGATTTAAATATAAAATGTAAAAACTATAAAACTTTTAGAATAAAACATATGAGAAAATCTTTGGAATCATGGACTTGATGATGATTTCTTAGACATGTCACCAAAAACATGATTCCCCCTAAAAATTAATTAATTGGACTTAATGAAAGTGGTAAATGTTTGCTCTGTGAAAGACTCTGTTAAGGTTCTAAAGAGACAAGCTGCTGATTGGGAGAAAATATTCACAAACTACACATTTACAAAGGATTTGTATTGGAAATACATTTTTAAAAAACTCTCAAAACTCAATAATAAATCAAAAATCTAGAAATTGGGCAAAATGTCAAATACATATGTATATCTCAGCATATGTACACATGCATACACAACTTGGTACGTATATATCTATATATGTGTACATATACTTGTATTTTTTGCATATTTTATTTCTTTAAACCTTTAATATGTGTTCTTTTTATTAACTTTTGTTTTAGGTTCAAGGGTACATGTGCAAGTTTGTTATATGGGTAAATTGCATGTCACAGGGGTTTCATGTAGAGATTGTTTTATCATCCAAATAATAAGCATAGTACTTGATAGGCAATTTATCCATCCTCACCCTTTTCTCACCCTCCACCTCAAGTAGGGCCCTAGTGTCTGTTATTCCCTTCTTTGTGTCCTTGTGTTCTCAGTATTTAGTTCCCACTTATAGGTGAGAACATGCAGTATTTGGTTTTCTATTCCTGCATTAGTTTGCCAGGGATAATGGCTTCCAGCTCCATCCATGTTGCTACAAAGGACATTATCTCATTCTTTCTTATGGCTGTGTAATATTTCAAGATGTATATGTATCATATTTTCTTTATCCAGTCTACTGTTGGTGGGCATTTAGGTTGATTCCTAACATGTTTTCTTAACTAACAAGTTTGAAATGTCATCGGTATTGCCATCCGCTCCTGAAAAATATACTGACCATAGAAGGCTTTTACTTCAATCATTTCTTTCACCTTTAGAATATTATTTTCTATTGACTTAGTTCTACCTTATTTTCATCCTACCAAAATTATTTATTATTACTTTTGTACTTTTCTTAGTATTTGTTTAGTTTTACCCATTTGTTTATATTTACCCATTTCTTAGCTTGACATAGCTTCCTAAATTTCTCTTTTCTTCTTGACTGATTTCTTTATTTTTTCAAGAAGTACTTCTTTTAGAAGATGTTTTCAGTAAAAATATGTTAGCACTAAACTCTTTTGGCCTTTGGTTGAAGTGCCATTATTTGATTTGTTTTGTAAGAATAGTTTAGCTGGTGTACTTTGGATTGTGAACACCAGCTCCATTGTCTGCTGACAATCATGGTTTCTGGTTGCCATGTATTCTGTCTGTTTATAATTTCTTGTAGTAATTCATTTTTTGCCTTAGGCTGCTTTTGCAAAAGTGTGAATATATTTTTCACTTACATTTCTTTAGATTTACTGTTTCATGAATCTGAGGACTCTATAGTTTAAAAAAGTTATTAGCTATTATTTCTTAAAATGTTTTCTTTCCCTGTTCTATTTATC